TCGAAGCTGTAGGCAAACACGGGATTGCCGGCCTCTGTTTCTCGCCTAGCCACCTCGGCTACTGGGCACACAATGATGTAGTCACCAACAATTTGTTCCATGGCCCATCGATACTGTGCCTCGCCCTGCTTCTCCCCCACCTGGCTATACCACCGAGCCACAGCCTGGACGGCCTCTTCTGGTGCCCCTGGCCCCATGAGCTTCAACACCTGCAGCAGCTCCTCCATACCGATGTTGCTGGCGTTCTGCAGCTGTAAGGTGGGGGCAGCAAAGAGTAGTAGGTAGGAGCCTTCGTTGGCAGTGAAACCAGTTGCGATGGGTATAGGCTGGCTCTGCTTAGCCTGCAGGAGTCTTGATGGTGAATCAGGCAGGAAATCCCCATCTGTTGTTGGAAGAAAGGGCATTCCCAGCAGCTCCCTGTGGTGCAAGACGGAGAACTCATGTTTGGGGAACTCCCCTGCTTCCTTCCCCTGCAGGCAGCCCACCAGGGCCGTGTCATCGCTATCGGTGCAGCCCAGCAGCTGGCCCAGCCTCTGGCCTCTCTCCTTGGCCTCCTCAAGCGAAATTGAACTCAAGGGTCCTGTCGGGGATCCGCTCTGCAGCATGGCACGGGTGAAGAGGGGCCGGCTCCCCGGGGAGAGGAGGTGGAAGCCGACTGACGCAGCCCCAGAGTCATGGCCGGAAAGCATCACGTGGGCTGGATCCCCACCAAAGGCGGCTGCATTGTCCCGCAGCCAGCGCAGCGCCAGACGCTGGTCCCACAGGCCGGCATTCCCCGGGGCGGCCGGGGGCAGAGACAGGAAACCCAGGGCCCCCAGCCGGTAGTTCATGGAGGCCACGATCATGTTCCCGGTTGCAGCTAAAAAGCGCCCATCATAGATCTCAAGGGAGGCTGCCCCGGTGAAGAACCCCCCGCCATGGATCCAGATGAGGATGGGGGCTGGTGCAGGGGGCCGGGGATGGGGCACCCAGACATTGAGGAAGAGGCAGTCCTCAGACTGCGGCGTTGTGGGTGTCAATAATTTGGCATCAGGGTAAGTAGGAAGCAGAGGCTGGTGGCAGACATTGCCGAAGCTGGTGGTTTCCAGAATTTGGCTCCAGGGCTGGTGGGGAAGCGGTTTCTGGAAGCGCAAGGCCCCCACGGGGGGCTGGG